GCTCAGCGGGGAGCCTGCTTCTCCCTCTGCCTCTCTCTCTCTCTCTGTCTCTTATGAATAAATAAATAAAATCTTTAAAAAAATGAAAAAAATAAAAAGGGAAGGAGAAAAAATCTGAAGAAGGCCTCTGTTTGCTGTGGTTTCTACCAATTCAGAATTGGGGGTTAATTCCTTCAGCAGCTCTCCTACTCACTCCACTATACTCTAGCTGTAGACATAATCTCAAAAGGAATTAGCCCATTCTAATTGATCTTGAACTTTTTGTCTACATTTTGATTAAAAATATCCAGCCAAAGTATGGACCATTGAAATTCTTAGCCCAGCAGAGAAACCCCGATGTTCGTATGTCTCTCATACACCATGCACAGGCACACCTCAGAGATAGTGTGTGTTCGGTTCCACTACAATAAAGTGAATATCACACTAAAGCAAGTCAAATGAATTTTTTGGTTTCCCAGTGCATATAAAAGTTATGTTGACACTATACGGTAGTCTATGAATTGTGCAATAGCATTATGTCTAAAAAATATATATACATACATTAAAAATGCCTTATTGCTACAAAATGCTATCATCTGAGCTCTCAGCAAGTCATAATCTTTGTGTTGGTGGAGGGTCTTGCCTCGATGTTGACAGCCGCTGCCTGGTCATGGTGGTGGGTGCTGAAGGCTGGGGTGGCTGTGGTGATTTCTTAACATAAGACAACAGTGAAGTTTGCAGCAATGATTGACTCTTCCTTTCAGAAATGATTTCCCTGTAGCATGTGATGCAGTCTGACAGAATTTTACTCATGGCAGAACTTTCAAATGCTCTCAAACCCTGCAGCTGCTTTAGCAACGAGTTTATATAGTCTAAATCTTTTCTTGTCAATTCTACAATCTTCACAGCATCTTTACCAGGAGTAGATTCCATCTCAAGAAACCACTTTCTTTGTTCGTCCATAAGATGTAACTCCTCATCTGTTCAGGTTTTATCAAGAGATGGCAGCGATTCAGCCCCATCTTCAGGCTCCACTTTTGAACCTAGTAGTTCTCTTGCTCTCTCCACCCCATCTGCGGTTACTTCCCCCACTGAAGTGTTGAACCCCTCAAAGTCACCCATGAGGGTTGGAATCAACTTCTTCCAAAGTCCTGTTAATGTTGCTATTTTGACCTCTTCCTGTGGATCACAACTGTTCTTCTTCTTCTTTTTTAAAAAAGATTTATTTATTTATTTTAGAAAGAGAGAGAGAGAGAGAGAGAGCATGTGGGGAAGGGCAGAGGGGAAGGGAGAGAGGATCTCAAGCAGACTCCCCACTGAGCTCAGAGCCCAATGCAGGCTCAATTGTACGACCCTGAGATTATGACCCGAGCCGAAATCAAGAGTTAGATGCTCAACGGACTAAGCCACCCAGGCGCCCCTGAATCACAAATGTTCTAAGGACATCTAGAATGGTGAATCTTTTCTAGAAGGTTTTCTCTTTCTTTTTTTTTTTTTTAAAGATTTTATTTATTTGTCAGGGAGAGAGAGAGAGAGAGGTTGAGAGAACGAGTGGGAGGAGCAGCAGAGGGAGAAGCAGACTCCCCATGAAGCAGGAGCCCAACGTGGGGCTCAATCCCAGGACCCTGGGGTCATGACCTGAGCCGAAGGCAGACGCTTAACCGACTGAGCCACCCAGGCGCCCCTCTGGAAGGTTTTCAATTTACTTCACCCAGATACATCAGAGGAATCACTATGGCAGCTATAGCCTTAAGAAATGTATTTCTTTTTTTTTTAAATAAATAAAGTTTATTTTACCTGATTGTAAATGAAGTACATATTCATACTATATCCAGAAAATGTATTAAATTTTTATAACATCTCTGAAATTCAGGCCAGACCCAGAACAAATAGCATTACAGTTGAATTTGCCTACAGATTCTCACTGAATGGGCTGGAAAAACCATATATAACATCCCTAACGAAGCTGCAAGTTTCCAAGCGCTTTTGTATTACAACTTTCTTTTTTTAAAATGTGAATCATAATGGTTTCTCCACACTTACATTAATTTTTAATCACAGTCTCTCATGCTGCTGATTGAATTCCTTACCACTGCTAATGGTCTTTCTTGTAATATTCATTCATTTAAAATATGTATGCTGATGCCATATCTTATTTTTCAGAGGAAACCTTTTAGTTGACATTTTGCTCCACTGAATTCCAGGACAGCACTTCCATTCCAATGAGGTAACGATTTTATGTTGCATCCTGTAGACAGGATTTGATATCTTCTGAGATCTCTGAGGACAGGATCCACCGGCCCAGCCACAGGGCCCTCTCCCACTTGAAAAATAAGTGACTTGGTTGTCTAGTATCACTGTGGGAGATAATCTGGTATGTACATAAGCACACCAATTCTTTCCTCTAGTTGTTTCAAAACTTGATTTTTGATAGTTGGTTTTCTGGCTTCCACTGCTGTCACCTCTGCTGAGGTATGTTTCCCGTGGGGACCGATTTCCCAGGCCGCCTTAATATCCTTTGCACATGATGTATAGTAGACGCTAACATGTGGAAACCTCTGTGGGCCTCTCTTTAGGCTGTCTCCAAATATTCACTTATTTGCAGAAGCAGAGAACAGGAACTTAAGAGGAGCAGAGGGAAAAAGCACCTTTACCTTTCTTTTCTTTTTTTTTTTTTTAGAGAGAATGAGCAAGTGGGGCGGCGGGGGGGAGGTGTGTGTGGGGCAGGGGCAGAGGAAGAAGGAGAGAAAGAATCTTAAGCAGGCTCTACGCCTAGCACCTAGCATGGAGCCTAACGTGGGCTTGATCTCATGACCCTGAGCCGAAATCAAGTCAGACGCTTAATGGAATGAGCCACCCAGGAGCCCCAAGAAATGTGTTTCTTAAATAAATAATAAGACTTTTACTCCTTGATCTGTGGGCTACAGAATGGATGTTGTGTTAGCAGGCATGAAAACAATATGAATCTTACTGTACATCTCAGTCAGAGCTCTTGGGTGACCAAGTGCATTATCAATGAGCAGTAGTATTTTGAAAATAATCTTTTTTTCTGAGCAGTTCTCAACAGTGGGTTAAACCATTCAGGAAATAGCTGTAAACAGATGTGCTGTCATCTAGACTTTGTTGTTGCATGTATAGAGCACAGGAAGAATAGATTTAGCATAATTCTTAGGGGCCCTAGGATTTCCAGAATGACGAATGAGCACTGGCATCAGCTTAAAGACTCTAGGGGCAAGCACTGGCTGTTTTATCTACATTGAAAATCTGTTGTTTAGTGTAGTCACCTTCATGAATTATCTCAGCCAGATCAGAAGCCCCAGTTGCATAATGGATAAGGCACTGGCCTCCTATCTTAGCCAGATCTTCTGGAAAACTTGCTGCAGCTTCTACAGCAGCCCTCGCTGCTTCACCTTGCACTTTTTTGTTACAACGATGGCTTCTTTCCTCCAAACTCATGAACCCACCCTTGCTAGCTTCCAACTTTTCTTCTGCAGCTTCCTCCCCTCTCTCGGAATTGAAGAGAGTGAGGGCCTTGCTCTGGGTTAGGCTTTGGCTTAAGGGAATATTGTGGCTGGTTTGATCTTCTATTCAGACTTCTCAAACTTTCTCCATATCAGCAATAAGGTTGTTTTGCTTATCATCTGTGTGTTCACTAGAGTAGCACTTTTAACTTCCTTCAAGAACTTTTCCTTTGAATTCACAACTTGGTTGTTTGGCGCAAGAGGCCCAGCTTTCAGCCTATCTTGACTTTTAACATGCTTCCCTCACTTAAGAGCTTAATCGTTTCTAGCTTTTGATTTAAAGTGAGAGATGTGCAACTCTTCCTTTCACTTGAACACTTAGAGGCCACTGTAGGGTTATTAATTGGCCTAATTTCATTTTTTAAAATTTTTTAAAAAGATTTTATTTATTTATTTGAGAGAGAGTGTGTTAGTGCACAAGCTGAAGGAGGGGCAGAGGGAGAGGCACAAGCAGACTCCCCAACGAGAAGGGAGCCCGATGTGGGGTTTGATCCCAGGACCTTGAGATCATGACCCGAGCCAAAGGTAGACACTTAACCGACTGAGCCACCCAGGCACCCCAACTGGCCTAATTTCAATATTGTCTCTCAGGAAATAGGGAGGCTGGAGGATAGGAAAGAGACTGGGGAATGACTGGTTGGTCAAGCAGTTAGAACACACACAAAGTTTATCAGTTAAGTTTGCCATCTTATACGACGCAATTCATAGAGCCCCCGCTCCCCAATTACAAGAGTAACATCAAAAATCACTGATCATAGATCACCATAACAAATATGATAATAATGAAAAAGTTTGAAATATTGCAAGAATTACCAAAATGTGACACAGAGACATGAAGTGAGCAAATGTTGGAAAAATGGCACCCAGAGACTTGCTTGATGCAAGGTTGCCACAAACCTTCCACTTGTAAAAGAAATGCAGTATCTGTGAAGCACAATAAAACAAGGTACCTGTATAGTTTTTCTCCAGCTGTAGAGCAGAGTGAGCTGACAGCACAGCTCATAGCATCACCTCTAAGAGAACAGCTCTGAGTGAATGGCTTCTGAAGAAGCTGCTAACCTTCCTCCAGGAACCTATGGGACTACCTCTCTTAAATATCAGGTGAGACAAGGTGCTCAAGGAGTCTAGGACATCAAAAGCTAGTTTCAATGCTTTTGTTGGATTACTGGCCCTTCTCACATAGGTCCAAGAGCCACACTGTAAAGTATCGGTGCTAGTCTGGGCCATCAGATCTTTTTGGTATGTTTTAAAATTTTTGATAATAAGGCTGCATGCATTTATGAGCTTATCTGTAAGATACATTCCTAAAAATGGTACTGTTAAGTCAAAGTTAAAAGGTTTAACAATGATGTCAATTCCCCTCCAAAGATGGCTTTATCGATTCATGTTCTCACCCACAGAGTATGCATGTGCTTGTTCCCTAATCGTCACCAGCACTGAGTACCATCTGTACTACTACGCTAGGTAAAAAATGGCACCTGTGATTGTAATTTGGTTTACCTTTGGCGTCAATCCTCTGGCCACTTCCAATTAGGCAGTTCTTGATGTCTGCTCCCTTCTCAATCACAGCATTGTTGCAGATGACACTGCCCTGGATGTTGCTTCTGTAACACAGGAGCCAAGTTAAAGAATGCCCGTGGCTCTCATCACCATCCTCACCACTATGGGTTGGGGGTTCTGGCTCCTCCACAGGCTAGGAATAGCTGCTCCATCCAGTTAATGGCTACATGCCTTAAGTTATCACTAGGAGACAGAATGGCTCAGGGGCGGCAAGCGTGGACCTGGCTTTAGCAAAGTCCAGAGTTCGGATATGCTCATAATGATCTTTCCTGCCAAGGCTTGAAAACTGCAGACCCTGTGACTTCAGTTCTTTAGGTACCCCAGACCTGGAGGTCTAAACTCCACCCAGTCTCTCCTTATTTGGTCTGGGCGGGTAGAAGCTGGCACTAGTCCCTGGACTGACCCATCACTCTGCTTCTCATTTGGGAATATATCCCAAATTTCATTTAAGGCTTAGATCCCATGAATCTTCTTAGGTCAGCTATGGAAACAATAGGTGCCCCACAGCTCTCACTACAGACTCTGGTTAATCAAAACCAAACTCACTTAGAAGACAAAAACGAAAACCTAAAACCCAATGTTTTTTTTTTTTTTTTTTTTTTTTTAAAGATTTTATTGAGAGAGAATGAGATAGAGAGAGAGCATGAGAGGGGGGAGGGTCAGAGGGAGAAGCAGACTCCCCACTGAGCAGGGAGCCCGATGTGGGACTCGATCCCGGGACTCCAGGATCATGACCCGAGCCGAAGGCAGTCGCTTAACGAACTGAGCCACCCAGGCGCCCAAAACCCAATGTTTTTTAAACTAGCTCCATGACACCTCAAAGACTACTAAAGATCCTAAAGCCACATTCTCAAGAGTAGCACCTCTTGTTCTTAGCATTTGAATGTGTTTAAAGAGCATCTTTCTGGCTCCTGAAGACCAGTGCATGAGAAGAAAGTCCTTTTGAAAATCTTTGCTAGCACACATCACACATTGCCCACCCTACTCTATGCTTGGTGTTGTGCAAATAAATACTCTATGTACATCGTAGGAGTGACTTACAAATCCAGCCATTTCATCAGAAAAATCACCTGGGCAGTGTAAAAAATAACAAACAAAAACACCCTCATTGTCCTGGCTTCCGTCAATCTTTTTGGTAGGTCTGAGATGGGGGCTTCATGTATTTAATTAGAAAAAAAGAGCTTCCTAGATGATTCTAGGAGTATTATTTTTGCTTCTGATGCAGTAAAAATAACAACCACATTTTGCAGATGGGGTAACAGATTTAGGGAAGTTAAACCATTTGCCCCAAACTACAAAATTGCCAAGTATCAGATTCAAATCTAGGTCTGCCTGACTCCAGAATCCATACATTTAATCAAAATGGCATATAAAGAAATCAAAAGAAGAAAAGACTGGAGGAAGCTTGCTTGGAACTGCCAAGTTGCTCTTCGGAGCCAAATGGCTCTGTGGAAGGAAGGGCTCTGTCCTAACAGGGGAATATTCACTACCCTAAAGAGTCACAAGTGGGCAAGAGAGGAGAAGGAAGGTGAGTAGGAAGGGTGTGAGATCCATTTAAACGAAACAAGACAAAACACCAATTAAGGAAAAATCCTCAGGCAACCCAGGAGGCGTGGGGGATGGGGAGGAGGACATTCCAAAGACTGAAACTATTAATGCACAGGCCATTAAAAAAGATTCTTCCCAAATGCCAAAACTTTAGTAAAATGCAGAAAAGGAATTCTAGCCCCGTTATGGCATTCCAGAGTCTTCTTTATCTCTATTCTTCTGGAAGTTTAAGCCAGTCAGAAAGCAGCAAAAGGCAAAAGCCACAGCACCTCTGTGGTGTGGGCTAGAGATAGGCAGACAGTATTAGTTTGTTTTTTAGTTTTTTAGCTCAAATTCAGAATACACTAAAAAAAAAAAAAAATTGGGATACACAGTGGGTGGGCATTAAGGGACCTCCCAGAATTTTCCAACTTGCCTTCTGCTTTAGGCAAAGCAGTTCAGTTAGCAGTTAGAGTGGTTTCTGCTTCTTGATGAAAATTCCCCCAAAGAGTAGTAAGGAAGTATAGAAAGCCTCAGAAAACAGGCTCCTGGGACAAAGCAGGCTTATAATTGGCTACTAGTTTGTCACTGCAAAGTCTCCTTTCTTTTTCCAGAGCGGGAGTAGGAGGATACTTCCTGCTCAGTAGTTTAAGAGCCTGAGAACGCATGCTCTGGAGCTAGAGAAGGGGTAAACATAGTTGGCAGATAAGAACAGCCAAGAGGAATTCAAGCGGCCATAATTAGAGACTACTACATGGCTATTCTGGAATTTGGGATATAAGTGGGAACCATTTCTGGAAGGAAGAGGCTAGATTGACTGAGGTCAGATTTCCGTAGCAATGGATAGCCTGGGTTCTCCTTATGTCCAGCCAGTCTGATTGAGGTGTTCAGGAACCTCGTCTCATCTAGTTTATGTGTAACTCCCTATGAGACCCATTAACTACCAATGTAGAATCTGCATGTATGATGGAGGAAAAGTGGATTGATTGAAAAGAAGCTGGGGGCTCTCCTGAAGCTCTTGGTCAGTGGATCTGTGGAAGGCTTTGAGATGAACATCTGACAAAATGCTTAGTGAGTGTGACGCTCTTTTCTGCCATGTTTCTTCATTGTTTCCTATTACCACTGCTGTGGTCACAAGTCACCTCCATTAGCAAGGCTGAGGCATTCCGGAAAAATGTCAAGCCAATATAGCTTTCCATCTGTCCAGGAAGAAATTCCAAGATTAAGGATTTTCCTGGAAGTGTGTGTGGCTCATGCTGGAGAGGAAGGACTGGTACTACCATATCAAATAAGCCCTCTCCAAGGCTTGGCTGCCAATCTACAATAATGGCTTTGCCTTTTCTGCTCAGTGCATAAAACAGAGGGGAGGTGACTTCCTCTACAGCTTAAGCAAAGAGCTGGCTCAATGCCAAAACTATGGTTTTTGCAACGTAGTTTTAGCTCTTAGCTTGGTACTAAGTACTCTGCTGTGCTAATACCTGGTTGTGTTTTCTAAGAAGCTGTTGAAAGATGGCTAAGATTAACGGGGTTTTGGTCCTCATTTCTCCTTGGTGGGGTTAAATTATTATTATTTTTTTTGAGGGGTGGGGAGAGGTAAAGCCTCAAGAGGGAGAGAGAATCTTAACCACACTCCATGCCCAGCTCGGAGCTGAGCTGAAGACTGGGCTGGTTCACAACCCTGAGATCATGACCTGAGCCAAAATCAAGAGTTGGATGCTTAAACTGACTGAGCCACCCAGGCGCCCCTTGGTGTGGTTAAATTTTAAGCAAAACTGCAGGTTTTGGGAAATTACCCTGAAAATCCTAATGTTTCAGGTGGAGAAGAGACCATGAGAAAAACACAGAGGTCTACAGTAAGATTTGTAGATCCACTGCATGGCCAGGCATACTATGCCACACCATGTTGTGGCCTAGACATAAGGAAGAAGTCCTGGGGGTGCCTGGGTGGCTCAGTCGGTTGAGTGTCTGCTTCCAGCTCAGGTCATAATCCCAGAGCCCTGCATGTCAGGCTCCCCACTGAGCAGGGAGCTTGCTTCTCATCTCTCTCCCTCTGCCCCTGCCCCCTACTCTCTCTCAAATAAATAAATAAATAAAATCTTTAAAAAAAAAAAAAAAAAAAGGAAGCAGCCCTGGCCTGGGAAGCAAAATGGCCTCCAAATTCTAGTTGCTCTTCTGGCTTTGGTTAGAACTTTCTTCAGTTTATTTATTTTTTTATTTTTTAAAGATTTTATTTATTTATTTGAGAGAGAGAGAGAATGAGAGAGAGAGAGCACATGAGAGGGGGTAGGGTCAGAGGGCGAAGCAGACTCCCTGCTGAGCAGCAGGGAGCCTGATGCGGGACTCGATCCCGGGACTCCAGGATCATGACCTGAGCCGAAGGCAGTTGCTTAACCAACTGAGCCACCCAGGCGCCCCTTTCTTCAGTTTATTACAGAAGGAAAGGGAATTCACATAACTCTGATGTTGAATATTTCTCAGTCATTACACAAAGCATTTTATGTTCATTATGTAACTTAATCCTTTTGGCAAGCCTGCAGGGATGGTGGTATTTATTCTAATTTTTACAGAGAAATTTGAGGCTCACAGAGATTAAGCAATGTGCCCAAGCGTAAATAGTGGTAAGTGACTCTCCATTGTGTGAGGGGCTTGGACTCAGCTGGTGACTGGGCAGTATTTGGCAAAGAGCCATGAAACTTTTCAGTAACTCTGAGGACAGGTAGGTTCTTCTCTGGAGAGAGCTGGTAGGCTTTCTAAACTTACTCATAACCTTGGGTGATAAAAGAGTATGGAACTGAAGTTTTTCTAAGTATATGACTAAAGGCGTACTTTAGGCCAGCTCACTACTTCAGCCCAAAGATTATGGTTGAGTCACCTGGATTTCCCCAGAGGCAAGAGCCTCCTAACCTCAGCCCAAAGGGTCGCTGTCCAGAAGTCCCTCTAGATGAAGAACCATGGATTATTATTATTATTATTTTTTAAAGATTTTATTTATTTATTTGAGAGAGAGAATGAGAAAGAGAGAGAGAGCACATGAGAGGAGGGAGGGTCAGAGGGAGAAGCAGACTCCCTGCGGAGCAGGGAGCCCGATGTGGGACTCGATCCCGGGACTCCAGGATCATGACCTGAGCCGAAGGCAGTCGCTTAACCAACTGAGCCACCCAGGCGCCCACCATGGATTATTTTTAATAAACTATTTCAGGCACAGAAAAAAGTCTATACTAGCAGACAGTATATAGTATTGTTTTCCATGTTTTAAATTTTTATATAAATGCTGTAATTCTCTATGTTTCCCTCTGCAACTTGCTTTTTTTCTCCTTCAACATCATTGTGATATTTATCCAGGTTAATTCATGTAATGAGACATAATGCTTGAAGAAATATTTCACCTTCCAGTCTCTGATCAATCTTGCTCTTGGTCCTCTAGATGAAAATGTATTGGCTTCAGTGAACAGGCTGAAAATTTCCTCCCTTTAGTTCCATGTGCCTCCCTTCACTATATAAAGGTTTAGTGGTAAGA